AGAGTAGGTGACTTCAGTTACATGACAGGGAAGGAGAAGAAATAGGACATCCAATAAGACAAACAAATTATGGGAGAAAATGAGCCAGTACATTTCTAAGCCCGGATGAAAACAGGAATGATGAATTGGGTTTCTCTTCCCCACCCTACCACTGCCACATGGGCCCCACAAGAGGTGTTTCTAATAGAACGCTAGGAAATCTGCCAAAAGAAACAGTTTCCCAGAGAGACAGAGGTGGGGCCTGAGGGTCCTGTCCCACAGATCACCCGGCTGCCAGGAGAGAGCTGCTGTGGGATGGAAGGATCCACTGCAGCCTGCCACAGCTGTCTCCTCTGGGAGAGAATGTTCCCACCCCATGTGACTCGTCCAACTCTTTGTGGTCACATCGATGCCGGCATTGATTTGTTAGAAAGTGTCACTCCACCTGGGATGGAGAGAGGAGATTGCCTGTCTCTAGCCCCACGACCACTTTAAGGCCACCCTATCAGAAACTGTCTTATTTTTGAAGCACTTGAGGGCTTTTTAAAAACTGACTTGAAATATTTCTCCTTTTGTGTTTAAGTAATCATCAACAGGCTTTTTTGTTTTTTCCAGCTCTCCTCTTCAAGCCCACTTAGTTTTAATTCTATTTTGTCTAAAACTTATCGAGTGGTGACTTGCTGAGATGGAGCCGTGTCACTGCCACGGTCCAAAGGCTGCCTTTTCTGGCCTCCCAGTGCCCTCATCTTTCACATACTATTTTATAATTATATTCAAATAATCTTCACCCTCAGAATCTGGGTCACAGACTCTATTTTGCTTCTCCTCTTCTCTACATAAATATCTTCTTAGGAAATTGTCTTTGTTTAGCTTATGATTTTTTGACACTTTCACCAGAAAGGGGAAGGATTTGACTTAATGAGTGTTTGCTTGTTATTTATTTTCTAGCAATCTTTGCTTTGCACTTTTTTCTTACATTTTCTTCCCTGACACTTTTCTTACTTGGAAACAGCCAGCATTACCCTGGAATTCTGTTCCACTGAAATGCTTTCTTCAGTTACGGCTTTCCTAGCTTGGGAGGTTTTAGGTTTCTCTTTTAGACACCCACGTCACTTTAAGAAAAGTTTGGGAAAGTAGGAAAAGGTAAAATATAAAGTAATTAATATTGTGAGTGTCTTTGTACCTGAGAAAACTTACAAATGTTGGTAGGCGATAGAGGAAGGTACAGAGGGACAGAGAAGTAGTAAGTTTCATTTCCCCTTCTGCTTTCCAGGCTGGACGCTGCTTTCTCACCTGGCAGGTGGGTCTCTTTCCTCTTCCTGGCCCAGCCTAGCTTGATCCAGTTGCCAAGCCTTTTCCATGCTGGGCTCCCTTCATAGACACACCTCTCTCCAGCCTTCTACCACCCCAGCTCAAGTCCCATCTCTTACCTTTAGCTTTATCCACTCCTTCCAGACCACCCTCGTCTGAGCCCTGTTTCACACGCTTTTTAGCACCTCCTAATTCTGGGTGAAATCATCTCATTCCTAGAAGGCATAGTCTGCAAAGTTTCTGGATAACCTATGAGGGCCTGTGATTTCCTTTTGTAAGAAAATTACCATACACCGAGGAAACTCTACCAATTTCTTAGGTCTTAGGTGGGACCTGGTGAGTAAACTAGTCTACGGATCTCCCTGGGTGTCACTCCTCCAGGGGCTGGCCTTGACGAGTGCAGGTGTGGCGATGGTGAATGAAGCAGGAGCAGCCCCCCACCTCCAGCAGGCCCTCCTCTCATGCCCATGCTTTCTGAACATGAACACCTGGGCGGCATGGTCCATGCCTCGCTTCACTCCCACCTGTCTTGTGAATTCTGTAGTTTATACCCCTGGAGTAACACTAGTGAATTGCCCTCCTCTCATGCCCATGCTTTCTGAACATGAACACCTGGGCGGCATGGTCCATGCCTCACTTCACTCCCACCTGTCTTGTGAATTCTGTAGTTTATACCCCTGGAGTAACACTAGTGAATTACTACCCTTTTGCAGGATCTGCTCTCTGTACTCCCACAAAAATTAGTCAAAACTGGTATTTGATTTGGGACGTGTTGGATCAGGTATAGCTCTATCCTGACCTTCCATTAGTGAGGTCTGCTGAGACTATTCATGCCTTAGGATTTGGGTATTAGAAACAGAGTTTTATGAGACGACATCTGTACCCTCTCTTAATTAGCAGTGCTGTTGTTTTAGATAGAAACACAAAGTTCCTTATTTTATAGGAATTGTGAGATAAATAAAACTCAATCTTTACCACCTCTCAACCTTCATCCACCAGCCCCCATGAAATGCTCTTGGGTACAAGAACATATGTTGACTCCAGGGGATGAAATCAAGTGAGAATTCACTGGAGAGCTAAGGGATGCTTCTGTGACTGTTAGAATATTGTCTTCATTTATGTAAGCTTGAATGGGTCACTTATTGTGGGGGGTTCATAATCATGGTCAAGATCAAAGATAAGCAGAACAGATGTCTTTAGATGAACTCCCTGCATATCTTTGCCAAAACTCTTGAGCGTGAGTTCATGTGCAATGAGAAGTCTTAGTGTTTTCCACGTATCGGTGTGTTCTGGAATGACATGCCTCTGCCATGGCTCTGAAGCATTATTGTCCAGTTTTCAAGCTTATTTTTTAATATGGAAATATAACAGGGATTGTTTTACCCATCTATACTCAGATTCGCAGATTTTCACCCATAAGAGAAATATTCAGTAGCTTCTCCTGTTAAAAACAGACCCAATACAGAGTTTCAGTATTACAAGGCGAAAAGAATTATGGAATTGGATGGTGGTGGTGGTTGGATGGTGGTGGCATTATGAATGTATTTAATGGTTAATTTATTGTATGCGTATTTAATCACAATAAAAATAATAATATATTTTTAAATAAAAAATACTAAAGAGCAATTTTAAAAAGTGGATCCAAAAAGACAATGTTCATTCCTTCTGTCACCAAGCTTCACACATAGCAGGTGGACAAAAAATGAGTTCCACATGAATAAATAAATGAGTGCCTACTATGATTCCAACATCCTTGTTTATATGTATGCAGAAAGATCATGAAGCATTTTGAACTCAGTAATGGACAGAAGTTGTTAGTTTTCCCTTTCTAGCAGCCTGTTATGTTGAAGAGTAAATACCAAACCCGCAGGAATAAGATGGGATTGTCCAGCAGATAGAACTGAATGCCAGTCCTCTTCTAGAGCTTTTTGTAAACACCAGCGCTCTGTGTCTCTTGGTTTTCCTGCTGCTTAGATGCCCAGCCCACAGAAGGAGAGAGAGAAATATGGAACCAGATCAGCGCTGTCCTCCAGGATTCCGAGAGCATCCTCGCAGACCTGCAGGCTTACAAAGGCGCAGGACCAGAGATCCGAGATGTATGCCAATGACAATACTAAACTGACAACACCCTGGGAGAAGAAAGGAAAACCACACACACATACACACACACGCACACGCACACACACACAGAGCAAGATTAAGTAGTAGCCCTAGTATTTCCTAAAGTACTAGGAATAACAAGGAAGGTAATGTGCCCTTAAAAAATGTATGAATGGCCCCTTTTATTCCAGTGCATTAGTCTGAACACACAGTGCTGTAGACCATGTAAAATATTAGCATTTTTTTTCTCAGACACACATTTGATACTGCAGGACTCATATTTAAACAATAATTTGTCAGTGGATTACTTCATTTAAGGGACATGTACATATAAAGTCAATGAACAACAGTTGAAATATGAGTCCTGAGGTCTGGGTTGACATGCACTTTCCAACATTTTGTAATGTCATGATTTTGGCAGGTTCCTCCAATGTCACACACAAACCACCTCATTTTAAGCCATAAGCCACCTCCCTTTAAATAGACTGCAGGTCTATTATCTTACATGTCTTATGAGATTTGAAAAAATAAATGAAAAACAAAATAACCGCCAAAAAAAGGAAGCCATAAGCCACCTCCCTTTAAATAGACTGCAGGTCTATCATCTTACATGTCTTATGAGATTTGAAAAAATAAATGAAAAACAAAATAACCGCCAAAAAAAGAGAAGACTATCAGTTTGACTTTTGAGACTTCACAATATCCTAAAGGCAAGAAATTTCACACACCTTTTATTTCAAAGTATTAGATTTGTGGGAATATCAACACACACACACATGCACACACGCACCCTGCTGCCACCATCCTTCTGAAAAGAACACCACTATCATCATAGCCCTCAAGCTGCCAAAACCCACAAAAGTCAGCATTTCTAAGAAAGTAACAGTCTATTAAGAGAGGTTTTTCTACTTAGGGGTCACAATTTAATTTAGTTATTTTAGATAACATTACAGACTGGCAGGATGTAATACATATTGTGGAGAAAGGAAAATATAATCAGAATTTGTACTTATAATGAGCACTTACTAAAAATCAAATGGTGATTGGAGAACTGAGTTTCTTCCAATTTAGGTCTTTTTTTTTTTTTTTTACTTTAAGTAAGATAACAGAAACAAGGAAGATGGCACAGGACCTAATTGCAGAGCCATTTGCTCTGAGTTAGGTTGTTAACATTTCCATTCAAATTGAGCATCTTGAGGGACAGTCCAACAAACTGATGTCAAGTTAAGTAGTGCACATTAGCAAAGTACAGCAGGGATTGTATTTTTTAACCAAAATCCTCTCTTAATCTTAAAGCATTTGATGTAGATTTCATTCTTTAAAAAACAGACAATTCTACCATGTTTTTGTAGGCGATTCAAAATCCCAATGACATTCAACTTCAAGAAAAAGCTTGGAATGCAGTGTGTCCTCTGGTTGTGAGGTTAAAGAGATTTTACGAATTTTCCATAAGGCTAGGTGAGTATACGTGTGCAGTTTTCATGTCCCGCATGTGAAGTTGTGTTTTGGCATCTGAGATGGTAGCAGGAAGAGCTTGGCAGCATGCTGGAAAATGTCCCATGTCCATCCGCGGTGTGTTAGGAGAGACCATTCATGGACAAAACTCTTGTCATTTTCCTTTCCTTCAACCCACCACAAAGTTTCCTCTCCTGAAGTTGTCAGCACATTTAGTGTGGCTCTACTCGTGGGTATCCCTTTGGTCTTGTTCTCCTTTATGCTCATCTTTCAATAGTTTAACTGTAGTCTGATCACAAATCTGAATAACAGAGAAATTGGAAAACACTGGTTTCCTGCTAACCCAAAAAGAACTTGGTTAGCTGGAGTCATGTGATAAATTTAATAGAGAAAAATACAAGAAAGACAAACCTAATGTTCTTTCCTTAAGATTAAAACAACAACAACAATAACAAAACAAAACAACTTGTACAGGTATAGGATGGTTTTAGAAGAGCAAGAGGAAATCCAAATCTGGTTGGCAATAGATCAAACAAAAAAAAAAACCTGTACAGGTATAGGATGGTTTTAGAAGAGCAAGAGGAAATCCAAATCTGGTTGGCAATAGANCAAACAAAAAAAAAAACCTGTACAGGTATAGGATGGTTTTAGAAGAGCAAGAGGAAATCCAAATCTGGTTGGCAATAGATGCCATGTGACCAGCTATATGATATAATCACTGTCCCCAACAGTAAAACTGTACAAGGTTTCATTAGTTAATATAGTGTATCTAGAATGAGGAAGGCGGTTGTTACATTCTACTGTACTTTTGCCATAAAACGAGTGCCACGTATTAAGAAAGAAACAGAGAAATTGAAATGCTTTGGGGGAATAATGACCATGAAGTTGAGACGATTAGAAGTTAAGACCCATGGGAGTAGTTGAATGAACCAAACCAGTTCTACAAGAAGAGAGGGCTTCTGAGACTCTCAGGAGGAAGAGCGGTCAACTTCTCTCTCTGTTTCCTTAATGTGTATGTCTAGACGCAATGAAGTGAAATCCTAAGGAGACAAATTTCAGCTCAACAGAAGGAAAAAGACCCCTGAATCAGAGCAGGCCAAGGTAGAACTGGCTGCCTCAGAAGACAGTCTGTTTTCATAGATGGAAATGTTTAACAAAGGCTAGAGACATCACTTGTAAATATGCTGTAAAAGGCATGTAAGAACTATATAGATCAGATGTCGGCAAAGTTTTCTGTAGAGAGCCAAATAGTAAATATTTCAATTTGTGAGCTGTCCTGTCTTTTTAGCACTTACTCTCAACTCTGCCATTGTAGCACTAAAGTAGCCCTAGTCAATACACAGAGGAACGATCATGTCTATGTTTTAATAATACTTTATTTATGAAAACAAGCCACGGGC